CAAAAACAGGCCTATAAACTGCTGCAACCAGCTAGTTACCAAGAAATGCACATACACAACCAAAGGAGAGCTCGCTGCTTTAAAACATCCCATTCAGAACCAGAGGAAAAACTCTGATGCTAGCTTGGGGAAGGCTAACTATTTCTTTTACTTTTTATTTTTTTACTTTTTTTGAAAGTGTAAATTGTTGCTCTGTTTTAAAGTCTGTGGGCTCCCTCTTGTGGCTTTGTGGAAAATTTCAATTTCAAGAAAATGCTTTTTCTCTCTAGCATTAAGGAAATCATTTCTTTTCCAATTTAAAAATAAACAAATAAATAAAAACTTTCATTGCTTTTCCTTGTAAAAGGAAAAGAAGAAGAGGTGGAGACGAGAAGGAAGGAACAAAATTAACTTTAATGGAAAGTCCTATTTGGTGAAAAGGTCATTTTATATACAATCCTGTTTTATAATAATAGCCAACATTTCCTGAACATCCTCTGTATGCTACTAGTTGTACTAGATAATGCATTCACCACATTATTCATTGTCTCCATGCTCAAAATAAGCCCACTGGCTAGTTAGTGTAATCATTTTATGGGTGTGAGACTGTACTTTCCTCCCTCAAAGGGAGCTAGTTGAGGAGATCCTGTGACTCTCTTTTTATATCTGCAAGCAAATGAAAAAATAAACATCTCATATTTTCCTATTTTAAAAATGATTTTTTTGTATCAAATAATTTTTCTTAAATAAATCCTAGAGTAGGATCATAGTTTTTTATCTGAAAAAATGTGGGAATTGTTCAACAGTTAATTTCTGTTACTGTTTGTCTCTCTCTAGTTGCCTGTCTCGGGAAACTTGATTGATCTTTATGGAAACCAAGGTCTGCCCCCACCAGGCCTCACCATCAGCAACTCCTGTCCAGCCAACCTTCCCAACATAAAAAGGGAGCTCACAGGTAAACACCTAACAAATGTACCTCTTACTGCAGATTTCAAGGAGATCCTTGAAAATCTCCTGAGATACTGGGAATCAGGGCCACAATTACTGCATGTCACCAATCACTGTATCTATGATGAAGGTCCCCTTTGCACTGGGAATAGTAGGCAACTCTTTCAGCTGTAACTGTCTCCACCCTACCTGATATGTATGTTTCTTTTTTGTTGTTGTTGTTGTTGTTGAGGCGGAGTCGCGCTCTGTCGCCCAGGCTGGAGTGCAGTGGCCAGATCTCAGCTCACTGCAAGCTCCGCCTCCCGGGTTTAGGCCATTCTCCTGCCTCAGCCTCCCAAGTAGCTGGGACTACAGGCGCCCGCCACCTCGCCCGGCTAGTTTTTTGTATTTTTTTAGTAGAGACGGGGTTTCACCGTATTAGCCAGGATGGTCTCGATCTCCTGACCTCGTGATCCGCCCATCTCGGCCTCCCAAAGTGCTGGGATTACAGGCTTGAGCCACCGCGCCCGGCCCGATATGTATGTTTCTTACAAGCCCCTAGAGGCATTGGAGTTTGAGAACCCAGATCTGAATTTTCCTTTGACACACATTCGAGCCCACAATTGGTATAGCATGAGAACATATTTCCTACATCTTCAGATGCCTCCTGATTTCCTACATCTTCAGATGCCTCCTGTTGTCTTTTGCTGTATTGTGTGCAAAAGATTTATTACACAGAGGGGAAAAAATTATAAAATGGAGCAATGGGTATTATTTGTTCTTAAGGCAAGTGTGAAATTACCTATTTCTCTATTTTGCTTAATGCTTTAGGGAAGGCATTTATTTGGTCATTAAAACATGGCGGAAACTATATTAGAACTGGCATTCTACCATGGTGAATTTTATGGCCCTTACCCCACCCCTCCTTTTATTATTTGATCCTTGCATCCTGCAGGATTGGATGAACAGACTGAGAATATGGATTTGGTACAGAGAATTCCTGTTCCAGTCAAGGGTGTCTTAAAAAATTTTTTTTCAGAAAATAAGCAGGAGAAAGACGCCTTTTAAAAACCGTGGATTTGAGTGAAAAGAGTAACTAATAAGTAAAAACCATCCAAAGCCAAAACACAATTAGTTACCCCACCAAAAAGGAAATTTACTACAAGACAACAACAACAGCAAATGCAAGAATTGTCAGGCAGGCACAGTAGTTCACACCTGTAATCTCAACACTTTGGGAAGCTAAGGCAGGCAGACTGCTTGAGCTCAGGAGTTCCAGGCTGCAGCGAGCTGTGATCACACCACTGCACCCCAGCCTGGGCAAGAGGAATGAGTCCTGTCTCGAAACAAAGCAAAACAAAACAAAACAACAACAACAACTTAGGAATCATTGAAGTGGAGGGTATATAAGTCATGCTTCTGTGTGAGGAAAAAAAAACTAGAAAATGATTTGGATTGACCATCACAATTGAAAGAATTCAACTTCTGAGTTTTATATATATACACACACACACATAGATATGCATATATATGCATATATACATGTATGTATGCATATATACATACATAACACCCATATAATAAATATATATGGTGTATATATATGCTTTAGTAGCTATAAGTTATGCTAAAATGATTTCTATTTTGAGATAAAATTCTAAATTATGATAGTGTAATGCTTCAACTATCACTTCTGAAAAGGAAATAACAGAGCTTTCTGAATCCCAAGATTGGTCAAGTAACATTTTTTTTTTTTAATTCTGTTTTGTTTTGTTTTGTTCTCTGTAAGGCAAAAAGCAGTCTCTTATCCCAGAGATCTCACAAGAGTTGCTATGCAAATAGAACTTTCCAATTGGAGATGCCACCGAGTGCGTCTATTCCTATTTTGTTTGTATAGACTCGAGCTAGTAAATAGTTGTTCCTAAGTTGTTAGATGATTTCATTACAGCAGGTTTTAACAGAATCTGGCACCAACTTCTGAAAAAATGAGTTCATTCTATGAACTAGTGAACTAGTCAGAAGATAGATCCAAATTGGGAGGTTTTTTTTTTTTTTTTTTTTTTTTTTTTTTTTTTGAGACTGGGTGTCTCTGTGTCTCCTGAGCTGGCGTGCAGTGGTATGATCAGGGTTCACTGCAACCTTGATCTCCTGGGCTCAAGTGATCCTCCCACCTCAGCCTCCCGTAGCTGGGACTGCAAGCATGCACCACCATGTTGGACTTTTTATTTTTTGTAAAGACCAAGGCTGGTCTTGAACTCCTGGGCTCAAGTGATCTTTCCACTTCCACTTCCCAAAGTACTGGAATTACAGGTGCGAGCAACCATGCTGGGCCTCTACTCAGTTTTTATATCAGCATGTTACAAAGGCATCAAAAAAGGACTGAAAGCTTCTATGGCCTGAAAAGAAATCAGACCCCTGATAATAAAGTATCAACAGCAAATTGACATAGTTTTCTAGCTATCGATATCTTTCTTGCTAGTATCTATATATGTTTACAGTGTGCTATAGATCATTTTTACCGGGTTTTTTTTTTTACCATTTTGTGGAAGCCCAGTTTTTACATATTGTATATTTGATATATATTGCTTTTGAAAACATGCAAGCTTTTTAAAAAGATACCGTTTTAAAAAAACGTATTTTTACTTAGAGTCAAGTCAGATAAGCTTCCATATGTTTGGGAAATGAGATATTTTGTAGTTTACATTTTGTGCAACTTCAAACAGTTCCAACTTCTAATGACTTCATTCACGTGCACAGCGTGTATTTTTCCCACAGAGTCTGAAGCAAGAGCACTGGCCAAAGAGAGGCAGAAAAAGGACAATCACAACCTGAGTAAGTTGGTTTTATTTGTGTTCATGACATTTGATATTAGAGTTAATATTCCCCCATATATCAAAAATGTTCCCAGAAATTCTGTAGAGGAGAGTTGATTTCTACAGCCGTTAAAATTATCTCTTCTGGAAGAAAATTGTATTTGACAGAAACCAAGGTATATATTTTCCCCATATTTTATCTCAGATCAAATTGAATTTTGTATATATAGTTATTTTCAGTTTCTGAAGAGTTTTTATTTTTCTTGTTTATAGTAGTGGGTTTTTTATTTTCTCTCTCCCTCTCTCTCTTTTTTTTTTTTTTTTTTTTTTTTTGGTGAGAGGGAGAACTGATCCCCAACTACCCAATTGTAAGTGTTGCTCACACAGGAACTTATTAACAAAAGGGGATTGGGGAGCACCTTCTCCAATGAGATTTGAAAGAAAAAGAAAGAAAGAAAGAGAGAGAGAGAGAGGGAGGGAGGGAGGCAAGGAGAGAGAGAGAGAGGGAAAGAAAGAAAGAAAGAGAGAGAGAGAGAGAGAGAAAGAGAGAAAGAAAGAAAGAAAAGAAAAGAAAGAAAAGAAAGAAAGAAAGAAAGAAAGAAAGAAAGAAAGAAAGAAAGAAAGAAAGAAAGAAAAGAAAGAAAGAAAGAAAGAAAGAAAGAAAGAAAGAAAGAAAGAAAGAAAGAAAGAAAGAAAGAGAGAGAGATCTGAAGGGGAGTAAATGGATGAGGTAGCCTCCTACATTTCTGACGTTATTCGTGACTTAAAAAAAAATAGTCCTAAAGCATTTGAAATATTTTTTACGCATTTAATTTACTCTTGATCAAATCTTCAACTTGTCTCCTAAGAATACTTTAATTTTTGTTTAATATAAGCCAGTAAGACAAGCTGCACAGATTTTTTTTAATAAAGGGATTGAGCTTGGAGGTAGGAAATCGGGTGTGAATTTCTCATCTCATGGCCTCATGTCGTCTGTTTCTTGAATTGATTTTTAAGAATGTGAGTCATATATAAACACTTTCTCCTTATAAAAATGATAGAATAAGGCCAGAGTTCTCCTTTAGTCCCCAGCAATATGCATGTTGGTTTCATTTTGGCATTGCTCTTCCTGACCTTTTTCTGTGTATTAAGAATATAGACATATGCACACAGAAAATAAATCGTATGGATTTCTATGTTTTATTTTATTTTATTTTATTTTTTCCTTTCAAACGAGTTGGTTTAATTTCAGGTGATACAAAGTTTAGGGTAGAACAAGGACCAAAGAGCAGACTGTGGCAAGGTTCTGAGCTGGTTTTACTTTAAATTCACAGTTATGGTAGGAATGACTTAGTGAAAACAACTAAAGAGATGATGAGCCACTGTAAGATTTTTTTTTTTTTTTTTTTTTTATAAAAGTTTATTCTTAAATGTACAACAGCTCCAAGACAACACTTAATTCCAGCTTTAGGTGGCAAAAGATGTTATGGCAGGGAATGTAGATGTTTAAATAAGGATGAAATAAAGGGTCACCATCTCCTCAGGCGCAAGGAACAGCTTACTTTTTGCCAGATTTCTTAATTCCACCTGTGGCCAAGGGCCCCTTCCCCGCGGCCTTTGCTTTTAGCTCCTCAAGTTTCTTCTGCTCCTCTTTTTGTTTCTGCTTGAAAGCCTATCTTCCTCGTCCATCTCCTTGGCCTGCTTCTCAGGCTGTTTCAGTGGCTTCTTCTTGCCACCTTCGCGGCTGGACATGGCACCTGCCCAATTTCTATGTTTTAACACAAACGGTGTCATATTGTCCATTTTATGTCGATTTTTTTCTACTGAGCAGTATGTTTTGAAGACCTTTTGCTGTTAGAAGTCTAGATCTATCTACTTTTTGAAAACTAATTGCATAGTATTTTACAGTGTGACTGTGTGATATTTAGTAATTTCCAATCTGCTGTGTGTTTATGTTGTTTCTAGTTTTTCCCTGTTATAAACAATACCACAGTGAACGTTTTTATATGGGTCTCTTTGTATACAAGAAAGTGTGTTTCTATAGGTTAGAAACGGAACTGAGAAATGGAACTGCTGGGTTCTGAGGGAGCTGGTTTTTACTTTAAGAGCTACACCCCGGGGCCGGGCGCGGTGGCTCAAGCCTGTAATCCCAGCACTTTGGGAGGCCGAGACGGGCGGATCACGAGGTCAGGAGATCGAGACCATCCTGGCTAACACGGTGAAACCCCGTCTCTACTAAAAAATACAAAAAACTAGCCGGGCGTGGTGGCGGCGCCTGTAGTCCCAGCTACTCGGGAGGCTGAGGCAGGAGAATGGCGTAAACCCGGGAGGCGGAGCTTGCAGTGAGCTGAGATCCGGCCACTGCACTCCACCCTGGGCGACAGAGCCAGACTCCGTCTCAAAAAAAAAAAAAAAAAAAAAAAAAAGAGCTACACCCCTCCCCAGTTCTCATGTCAAGTGTAAGAAGCTCTCCTTTTCTTTTAACCAAAACAGATAAACTGTTATCTCCAAGGCCTCCTCCAGCTTCTCAGTAATTTTACCCTAAGATATTTCTTCTTTTAAAACACCTTAGAAACAAGATAATTAGGCATTACCCAAAACTACTTAAGTGAAATGTGGAAAACTGAGTTGGATCTTGTCAAAAACAATAGATACCTATCATCAGGCACCTGAACTCTCAAGGTCAAGGTTGTCAGTAAAGTGCAAACATGATCAGCTCAAACTCTGAAGGCTATGAAGCAAGCTAAAAGTCTCATCCAACCATTGGGAATTAATAATCAAGGTTAGATTGCCCCTTGGTCAAGCTGTTTGTCTTCTAGGAATTTATTTTGTAAGAATACTTGCCAAAATGTACAAAATGATATATTCATTTATTATTCACTCATTCACTCAGCCATATATATATACACACACACATATATATGGGGGGGGGAGAGAGAGAGAGAGAGAGCGCCCCTGTTTTGTGTGAGGCACTTTTCTACAATGTGAACCAGAAAATTAGTTTCCCATCCTGAGAAACTAGCCTTTGAGTTAGGGGTCATCTATCATGTATTACCGAGGTGAGATGAACAAGGGGCAGAATAATACGTATAATATCCCATTGTGTACAAAGAACACACTGGGGAGGGACGTGCTTGTGTATGTGTTTATATGGATGTATATGTGCATGGGCGACTATCTAGACATCACTCTTATCAGTGACAATTTGCCCAGACATATAGATGTTGGATGGTATAAAGACTTGGCTTTTACTTTTTCTTTAATACACCTTTGTATTTTTTAAAATTTTTTACTAAGCTTATATCATCTTTCTAATAAATGATTGGAAAGGGAAGTCACTGTGAAAACAAAACAAAATGTAGTACACCTAAATATTGACAGTGAAAGATGTCAGCTGTATGCTGGTGAGTGAAAAAAAAGATGCAGAGTCATTTTTAGTATGATTCCACTCTAAATGTTTTGTTTCTTATTTAACACATATTTGTTGAGAGCGTACTATGTGCCAGATGCACACGGTTACTTGGAATGCAACAGCAAATAAACATAACAAATAGATCAATGGGATACATGAATATGGAATGGCAGAAAGTTCCACGTGGAGTCAAAGGGCAGGCAAGGAAGTATAGTGTCAGCATGGACATGGGAGGTGGTGGATCAGTTTCAAAGAGGATGACCAGAAAGTCTCATAGGTAAATCTGAGTCTACCTGAAGGAGGTGAGTGCAGTGCCATTCACATATCTGGAGCTACAATGTTCCAGGCTGGTGGAACAGCCATATGAAGTCCACCAATGGGGCGTATCTGGCTTGCGTGAGGAATAGCAAGGAGCCAGAGGGGCTAGAGGAATTTTATGATTATTATGTGCTTGGAAAAAAATAAGAAGAAAGTATCATACTTAAGAGTTTTGGGGAAGGTTAGCTACTGGATCAAGGACCCCACAATTCCTTCTTCAAAACCACTGACCATCACTTAGGGTTTCTATTTTATAGAAGTCTAATGGTAGGACTTCATATTATATAAAACGGATTTCATCATTGGAATAATCCCTCAGCCAAAACAATTTATATTGGGAAAGCAGAGAATCACATTATTTATCTAAGTGTACAGACTATTAGTGGATCAAAAAGAAACATATATTATGGTATTTAGAGTAAATAGTAACAACTTCAATCCAGTTTGTTAGACTTCAAATTATTTGGAATTTATTTGCTTGACTACATTAATTAGAGACATTTATCATCTCATATGCCTTATTATGTCATCCTCCCCTAAGAAGATGATAGTTGAACTTATACCTAGATTTATAAAATAGGAATGCTGTGAAGATTCATGGTATAGCTAAAAATACTAGACTTCAGTTTTAGGGCTGTGCTGTCCAGTACAGCAACCATTCACCACTGGTGCCTACTCAGCCTTGAAATATGACTGGTCCAAATTGTGATGTAAAATTGAAAGCGTAAAATGCACCCTGAATTCCAAAAACTTAGAATGAAGAAAAGAATGTTAAGTATTTAATTTGTAAATGTTTACATTGATTGCCTGTTAAAATAATAATATTTTAGATATAATGGATTTAATAAAATGTTAATTTCATCCCTTTCTTTTTACTTTCTAAATAGTACTACTAGAAAACTTAAACTTACATATGTAAATTATATTTCTGTTGGGTAGCACTAGGCTAGAGCATGGGTGTTTTGTGTGGCCCATGAGTTAAAAATGTTTTCTACAGTTTTAAATGATTATAAAAGGCCGGGTGCAGTGGCTCACGCCTGTAATCCCAATACTTTGGGAGGCTGAGGCGGATAGATCACTTGAAGTCAGGAGCTCGAGACCAGCGTGGCCAGCATGGTGAAACCCCCTTCTCTACTAAAAGTACAAAAATTAGCCAGGCGTGGTGGCGTGTGCCTACAGTCCCAGCTACTCAGGAGGCTGAGGCACAAGAATCTCATGAACCCAGGAGATGGAGGTCGCAGTAAACCGAGATGGTGCCACTGCACTCCAGCCTGGGTGACAGAGCAAGACTCCATCTCAATAAATAAATAAATAAATGAATAAATAAATAAATAAATAAATAAATAAATGCTTAAAAAAAAAGTGACATGAAAATTATATACAATGCAAATTTCAGCATGACAAGTAAATTCTAATGCTTTTCATTAGATTTGCCTTGCAAAAAATTGTACTCATATGTTATATTTTGAATTTTGTCAGTAAAAAATGTGTGGAAATTTGTTTTCCCTCTGGTTAAGTAAATATCTGCATAATATCCTCAATTTTGCTACTTATCCCACAAAACCACAAGTACTAACTTCCTGGCTCTTTGCAGAAAGTTTGCTGACTTCTGCTCTAAGGGGTTAGGTTAGAATTTGGGCTGTTCACCAGGTATTGCGGGATGTCCTTGCCAAGTCCCTAATAACAGTATCTCCAAGGCAATTTCATTATTTGTAACTGAGGATAGTAATTGATTTCAGGGTTGCTGTAGGAGCAAATGAGAAATCGTATGTATCTAAGGGCTTTGGAAATGATAAAGAAAGGTAGCTCATTTTTAACTGCAATACCAAAAACAGAGTAAAAATAGGGGAAAAGTAGGTTCAGGTTTCCATTGTCAGGACCTGAGAAGTTAATATGCCCATGCCTTTAATGAGATATGCTAAATACATACATGGTACTGTTACTAATAGCCCTTTCCTGTGCTCTTTTCTTAAAGTTGAACGAAGAAGAAGATTTAACATAAATGACCGCATTAAAGAACTAGGTACTTTGATTCCCAAGTCAAATGATCCGTGAGTACAATTGCGTGTTAATCTGCATCATATATTTTTCGGACCTGAATGTTTTTTCATATGTTGTAAAAAATGCAGTTGTAAAAACTAAAGTAAAGAAGTCTCTCCCCTCCCTTTGGTTCTGTTCCTAAATTCTTCTTACACCTTTCTTTTGGTTAGTCTCATCAAACTAAAATTTCAAGACAAAAGCATTGAATTGTACAAAATGATCTTTGGACACTAGATGCTTTGGTTGTGAGGAGGTGGCTTTCTGAGAGGAGGTAGCTTTCTGAAACCTAAGAATTCTTTGCAAACAAATACTGAGCTTAAAAAATATTTCCTTTAATGATTCATGCAGAACAGAACTTTCAATAGCTGTTAAAGCTAGATTTGTTGACTGCTCTTTGACTTATACAGTATCTCTAAATAGGGACTGATGAACGGACATTAGAGACTTCAAGTTTAATGATACTCAACAGACAAAAAAAGGTCAATTGCTTTTATGAAAACTTGCCTGCTCTTTGTATGTTTTACCATTGTAGGGGAAAAAAAGTAATGTTTTAATCCTCTTATTAAGTACAGGTCAGCTAATTTGGATTTCAGCTTTTGGTCTCTCTTTATCCACCCTGCCCCCTTCAGAGATAACAGCTGTAAAGATAATTTTCTCAAGTCTTTCCTACCAGCCTATAGCTACCTGCAACGTCAGCAGATAGGACAACAAACACACAGTTTTTATCCATTAGAAATTGGCTCATTTGAAGCAAGGGGCTAGAAAATATATACATTTTAATGGCCCCCACAGGCAGTCTGTGAAATTAGCCTTTGAATATGACCTTTTAGCTACCTAATAAAATGTAAAGATGAAATCAAGTATTATTCATGCAAGGCTTATTAAATTTGCTATTCACATTATTGTTAGAGAATTTGTAACAAAATAAAATAAAACCATTACCTATTGTGAGGTGGTTTTGATGAATGTACAAGCACAATTCCATC